TTGAATGTAAATAAATGTGGGAAATAGGGACTTTAGGGATCCACAATTTAATCAATTCCAAGCCACCAAGTTCCTTTTGCCTAGGGTTGCACAATCTCCTTAATAGTAGCTCCTGTTGTCAATGTGTATACTAGGCCACAGGGACCACTGGTATGAACAGGCTCAGTTATGTGTCTTTAACCTAATTCTGGAAAGATATATATTTTATAAATGCATTTATGTGTGTAAGTGGCATTTGAATGTAAAAAAAAAAAACATGGACCATACTGTCACCACTTATTTTGTTACGAATCTACTTTAAAATCATTTAAACCTTTCCTTTACCTTACTAGATCTGATTTTTCTTAATGTCTTTAGTTTTTCCTACAGATTTTCTAGCCTTTCTGATTTCTCATGATTAGGGATTCGTAATCATTCCTTTTTTCCTCTTTGTTATACAAAGCTTTCAAAAATTCACTTTGTCATTAAGATGACTGTCTAACATGAGTGGGATGAATCATTGCTAAGCAGTGTTATTTTAGCATTGCCTACAAAGGGAGTCTAAATAAGTAGCTTAGACTAAACACCTAACTTTCAGGTGCCTAATACTAGGTGAAATGAATCTATCCTAGCTACATAAAATATAACTTGGGATTATCCACTCTTTATTCACAGAAGATGCAACTCAGTTGTAATCACTGTTCCCTAGACGATCACCAGCCTTCAGTGGTGTGTATAATTTGGATTTATTTAGGGTAAAGTTGTAACAGAGTGCACCGGTTTGCTCATATTTTTTCAACTTCCAGTTGTCAATAAAATTCTAAAAGGTGTCTTGAATATAAATTGAATATGTAATACCATAACATCATTATAAGCCTGTAAAATAGTGTTCTCGTTCAAGTCAGGTTAAATATTTCAATTGGGAAAATTAATTGCCAGAAGACTAAGGAGATATGTTGGGGAATGACACTTGTTTGATCTGTGTATTACCTTCTTTTTTTCTAAATATCCTTGGCTAATTGCTTTCAAAGATGGCATTGGACTTGACAGACTTTTGGTCTGGTTCGGTACACTTCTATTAGTGTTGTTAGGTATGTCTCTATGATGTCTGATATGTCAAATTCCATTTCATATATAGGAATTTTCATTTGATTTTTTTTAAATATAAATTTGGAATATAAACAACAGTTATCTTCCTCTCCTTCACACACTCAATTCAATTTGTCCGAAACATTGAATATTTGAATTTCTGCTGGATTTGTGTTTTTGGTCCTTCTCCTTTTCTTACCTTCTTGTCTGTTTCAAGTTAATCCTGTCTGAAAAGATGTGTCATGCTGTATGAATAACTCAATTTACAGAATTTCATAGAGCCAAAGCCTTCATCTTCCCACTGGTTATGCAGTCTGCCATTCATCTCTGGTATTTTCTTTCTTCTTTTGTTTGTGTGTCTGAAAGGACCACCAAAAAGGTCATTTAGACCTTAGTTGCTTCCAAAACCCGCTAAGTCCTCTATAATTGGTTCCACTGTATATCATCTTCATCTGAGAGATGACAGATGACTTGCTTCATATTCCCCATTCACTTTCAGTTAAATTTCCTACACTTGGTCTTTTGGGACTTAATTTCTTTCACTGTCCTCATTTCTTTTCAGCAGTCGCTTCTTGATTTCATTATGACTTTTTAGACTGCATTTTTGGCAAGCACAGGCCCACTAAAAAGGGCTTCATAGAAAGTATTTAAACTTTTGAAAACCCTCAAGGCAGATGAGGGTCTCTTGAAATCCTGTGATTTGTTCTGCAGAATAAGCAGAATAAGCAAGCCCCTGGTGTAGAAGCAGGGGTTAGTCACTGCTGCAGAAAACCAAATCTAACCAGTTCTTTAAATGAGTACAGGAGACATAAGTCTTCATTATTTGAGATCTCACACTTTTACTTCTGAGCAGATCACATAGCATTTACTGGCTGTTATTGAAAAGCAGTCCTCTTTTGGGCAGTGAAGAAAGAAAGTGATGTCTCATTTATATATTATATTTCATTTATTTACTACATACATGTCTGTTTAATTTCAGATAAAGCTGCTTGAAAAGAGGTAATATGGAAGAGCAAGTAAATATCTGATATAATCTGATATTGCAATCCCAATCCCAAGTGAGAAAGCTCACTTTTAGAACAACCTGATGAAGWCATTGTAAGCTAATATTCTTGGAGACTTTTAAGAAAATACATCCTTAATATGTCGTCTATAATGGGTGAATATCTGACAGTAGCATCAGTATTTTTCTAAGTTGCACATCCCCATGGATTGAGTCTCTGAAACAAACCAGGAATACATTTTGCAAGTAAATCTGTAGTAAAAAAAAAAAAAAAAAAAAAAAAATCTTAAGCTGATTGAATTCATTCTGTTCTTTCTGTTCCCCCAGAAGGGAGGAATATAGGAATATTTAGAAAATATAGGAACAAGGGAAAATATTTTTGTCAAATTTCTTAACTGATTGCACATCCAAGAAGTGACTGAGCCTGATTCTTGCTGGAAACAAGGAAATTCATTGATTATTGGACTTGCTAGGAATGAATTAGACCAACACATTTACCTTTTGGCAGTTCAGAGGAAATCATCTTTTCGTAACCTGAACAGGTATCATCAACTGATACCTATGTGAAACTTGGAGTAACATGGAGGAGAAGTATCATCACCTCTTACCCTGGTGATGATCAATTTATGTCCTGAAACATACCACTAATTAGCTTTTAAGTTAAGGTTAATGATTAAATCASTCAGAAAATTATCCAGCTTTTCAAAACATATACTGGAAGTATGTGAATTCCACAATGAATCCCACATCCTGACAACAGATCTTTAGTTGTCACAGATCCACAACTGGGCCTGAGCTGTAACAATTCACAAGGGTTCAATTGCTTGACCCCTGTAGTGGATTTTCCGTCRAACTTGCCTCATTGATTTCTTATTTAGCTAAACAATGTGTAACAAATGTGTCTTAGAGCAAAGAAACAATTTTGGRTGAGAAAATCATTGAATAAATTGTGCCAATAATTCTCAGAGCCGTCTCAGTGTTGTGTTTCTGTAGGATGGGAGCCTCAGGAGGCATTTGGCTTCTCTTCCCCATTGTCTCACCATACCTTCTGTCTTCTAATGACATGTAGACAGTCAAAAACGTACCTCATATAAGTAGTTCCACAGCTGTGCAGCAACCAGACCATGTTCCTTCCCAAAGTAAAGGTACAAAGAGGACTAAATCTGATGGCAGATTTACTCAGGTGCTGCACCAAGGGAAGAGTACAGCCACCATATACAGGGCTGTGATATTTCTTCCTGAAACTTCTCAGGGCTATAGTTAGCCCCACAATATGGCAAACAATGCAAAACACACTGCATAGTGAATTTATCAAAATGTAAGGACTACTTCCATAGGTCTCAGAAAATATATTTAAAAAAAAAAAAAAAAAAAGGATGCAAGTAACACACTCCCTAAAAAGCAGCAAACAGGTCTTGTCAGAGATCTGATCAGAATGAAAACCTGGGAGAAAAGTTGCAGAATGGCAGATGGATGCACCAAAAAAAAAAAAAAAAAAAGCAGGTAATCATGTCTAAAGCAATACCAGAACCAAAGAGCATTAAATATAATAATGTGTAATAAAGAGTTAGTTGCACCTGAGAGAAGCTTGGACTATGTGGAGTTTATTGACTGCAGATGGCCTTGTTTAAGCCAAAATTTGAGTAATTCGTAAACCTGCTGTACTCACCTATTAAATGGCTTGTGTTTGTTTATTTCTGACAGCTGCTGATGCCCTAAATTTGTACACAGGTATTGCRGATATGGGGTAGGATGAGGCTTTTAGAGGCTGAAGTGCTACTCATGGCATTTACACAAGATATTTTTTTCATAATGTTTGAGAAATGCCACCCAAAAGAGCTGCATGACATAACAGACACGTTTTATCTGTTCTTTTATTTGAGCTCTGGAGGAGCTTAGATTGCTAACTTCAAAACTTGAACTGTAGTAAACATTTTATTAGTAACAACAAGCACTATGCTTCAGCCTGCTTTGTGAAGAGGGTCACGACAAAGAACCCGCCAGTGCAAATTCTGTTTCCCGTCAGGCCACTGCAATATTCACTTCACCTGTCACAGGAAAATACAGTACATAGAAAAAAGGTCAAAGTCCAAAAAAGCAGGCAAATCAAAATGTCTCACCTTAGATTTCTGGGAATATTTCATGGACAAATACTGATAGGTGGCTATGACCGTCTCGTGTAGATTAGTTGACGATTTCTCTTCACAGTGAGTTCGATATTTTTTATTTGTAAAAAAAAAAAGGACTGAGGAATATGATTTTCAAGGGGCATCTTTGCTACAACTGCACTTTGAAGTATTCCCAAGAATCATGTATTCCACAGAATCATTCAACGTTCTTGTTTTTACTCAAACTTTATGTGTTTTAGTATGAACATATGTGTGTTCTTCATTCATTTTTATTTCTCATTAGTTTAATTTTTAAATGTTTAGTGTGCAAATTTTTAGTGTATTTAGATAGTTTAAATAAGACACAACAGCCAAATTTAGACTTTGGTTAGAGTGGAGCCATTTCATTAGTGTAAACTGCCAATTGTGCTTGGTTCTTTAGGTCTTTCCAGCTCCATAACAGACCTAGTCCATTGACCTACATGTTCTAATGGAATTTCCCCTCATTTTCACCCTAATTCTGGCATCGCTATCTGACAACACTTTGCAAAAGCTTTTCCAGTGGCTCTCAGCCAAGCTCAGTTTTCATTTACACCTGTGTGCCTCATTAAAATCAATTGCTTTGCAAAGATTAAATCAGTATCTAGGTTGTTACACATCAGACCTTGACAAGGAATGAGTTGGACCCCTGGAGTTCAGCAAATATTGGGGATATAGCACGCTATTGCTCATTGCAAAAACTGAACTTGCAAAGGTGCTGGAATCTGAATGTATCAGACTACCTTCTTACCTTTGGTCTTTTGTCTTTTTGTTATGTATAGGAGAAATGGGGGACAAAGGACAGAAAGGCAGCATGGGACGACATGGAAAAATTGGTCCCATTGGTTCAAAAGGTAAGCTTAGTTCAATCCTTTCCCATTTGTGTCTCAGACGAAAAATCTGTGATTATTTATCTTCGAAAAAAGTCTAGTGGCCTGCAAAAATGGTGGACTCGTCTCAGGTTATCACAATAGGGAGTTTCTCACTATGCAGTCAAGCAGGTGATTAAGCTCTTTCAGTGAGTTCCCTTTTGCTCTGACAGCTAGAGCTGGGAATCCTGATTTGAGGCTAAATGAAGAACTTTGTGCACTAACATGCAAGTGCAGACAGGATAGGAGGGTGCACCGTATTTTTATATAGTTTCAAAAGCCTAAGACTGGAGTTCTGTACTTGCCTTCCCCACAGGCTTCCTGCAGGCCTTTGGTTAAATCATTTGAGCCAATATTTACTTAAGCACGTGGATTAAGTCCTTTTCTCTCTACAACATCAGAAGTTATTAGTTCTATGAAGTGCTTTTTTCTTTTTTTTTTTTTTTTTTGACTTAGGCCTATTTCTACATTCTACTTTGAATGTTACTAGAGACAAACTGAACTGTTACACCAAAAAGCTGCCTTTAAATTCTATTCCTTTTCATGTTTTTAGGAGAAAAAGGAGATAATGGTGACATAGGACCACCGGGTCCTAATGGCGACCCAGGTAAGCCATGGCAAGTCTTGTCTACATGAAGAATTTTAGAAGATTCATGYATCATCAAAAAATATATCTTTTGACACACTGGGATAAAACATGACAAATAAGTATTTGTGTATAATTTGCTGTAATGTCTTCAAATTAGATAAGAAAAAATACTGAAGCTGCAGAAATTGCTGGACTTYTAAGGTATTTTTTTAAATAATATCTCAGATCTCCTCAGAGGTCAGATCACTGTGGGAGCATAGTAGGAGCTTAAATACGGCTGTCTGTATCATTCATCACAGAGCAAAAGGACCTCCCTGCCTATCCTGTTCTGACTTCCAGCCACCCCAAAGGAACGGGTGCAGGAAGGCTCTGCCCCAGCATGGGTTATGGTTGTAGCAGCGAGATTTAGATCCTCCAGAGGAAAAGGTGGAAGTCTGGCTTAAAAAGTATAAGCTGTTTGTAAAGGCTTTTATTTTGCTTTCTATGAAAGTGCACAGCAAGCCAGTAGGCCRGAGCGTTAGGCTTCAAGCTCACTACTTACAGAAGCGACAGGTCCATGGCAAAAGCCCAGTTTGTTCCTTCCTTCCCAGTACACTAAAAGTCCCCYCAGAGAGTTTTCTCTTGAGTCAAATGCAGATTCAAATAATTGTATGCAGAACCGGAAGCTATAATTGATCCTAGTGTTGAAACTCGGGTTCACAGAAGTAGCAATTATTCTTTTAGTATTCTCATTCAGAGTATCTTTTTTCAAACCAATATCAATTTGGCATAATAGATGGTTTTCTATTGTCTTCTTTTATCAGGAGAGCTACAGTAAATTCAACCGAATTGAATTATGTTTTGCACCTAATTACGTGCATTATGTGGTAGGAACATTTGCCTTTTTGATCTGCTGCATTAGATTCCTTGTGAGAAACAGAGACAGAGAAACAATACGCTGTGTAGATTTTTGCTGGAAAAGAAAAACTCTTCGCAGAAGAATGAAAAGCAGAATTTTATCCACTGTTTGGGTGCAAACACCTGTGAGAATCCTATGACTGTTCAGGGTAGCAGAGGCCACAGTTTCTCACCTACTATTTGAGTGGAAGGTGTCTCACCTACTATTTGAGGGAAGCCAGTGTGATAAGCAGGCCAGTGATAGGGTCCACTGGGCTGGACCTTTCCATAAAGCTATTTAGATAATGATGAGGATGTCACAGTTTTTTGATTGTGGTCTATTTGCGCCATTTTGCAGGCATCCCCTGTGAGTGTAGCCAGCTAAGGAAGGCTATTGGTGAAATGGATATCCAAGTGGCGCAGCTCACGACAGAATTAAAGTTCATAAAAAATGGTAGGTGTATTTTTCATAAACAGCCTCCTTGTTCGTGGTCGCGCGCGTGGCCACCGAGATTGCTCGGAGTGAGCACCGCCACTTCACGTCTGATTTGTGCAGGTCTTTTGGGGTGTGCAGTAAGTTGGTTTATAGAAACGCGAGTGCTCACTTTTCAGCACTGCCCTCCCCCGCAGCTGTTGCTGGTGTGCGTGAGACAGATAATAAGATCTATCTGCTGGTGAAGGAGGAGAAGAGGTACGTGGAGGCCCAGCTCTACTGCCACGGGAGAGGAGGAACGCTGAGCATGCCCAAGGACGAGCACGCCAACAACCTCATCGCCTCCTACATCAACCAAGCGGGGCTCWCGCGAGTTTTCATCGGCATCAACGACCTGGAAAAAGAGGGGAATTTCGTCTACTCCGACCGGTCCCCCATGCAGACCTTCAACAAGTGGCGCAGCGGGGAGCCCAACAATGCCTACGATGAGGAGGACTGTGTGGAGATGGTGGCATCTGGGGGCTGGAACGACGTGGCRTGTCACATTACCATGTATTTTGTTTGTGAATTTGACAAAGAAAACGTGTAAGCTCGCCTGCTTTTTCTTTATTTTAAGAAAAGTTGTTTTTTTAAGCAGATTGTATAAGTTACCCCATGTTCATGGAGCACGAGAGATATTTTGCAAGTATGGGACATCAGTGTTGTACAGCTGTAAATACAATTTAGGTATTTCAAATATCAATATTTACCCTTCAGAAGGGAAGAGCAATGATAAGTAAGACAGGGCTTGTTTTTCTTTAGGAAAATATATGTATTTAGTTAAAAATGAGGCTGGAGGGTAAATTCTGCCGTCATGACAGTTACCACATTTGACTGCATGACTGTGAGGGAAGGCAGAATTTGCTCTTCAGTTGCTAGAATGTTATTTCTGAAGAAGTTGATCCTTGATATTCTTTTATCTTAGCAAAATTTGTAGTTACAAATATTAATTGCTTGTAGTGCTACAGGGATAATTCAGTCACAAGGCTAATAACTTTGTGCACCGCAGTTAATTAGTACAAATATTACTGTAAGTTTTTTTGGATGTAAAGGCATTGCAACATTGTTTTTAAAACATAGCCAAAGCAGCCAACTAATCAGGAGTGCTACCAATTTTGTAACATTTCCTTCACAAAACTAACTGAGCTTTAGGGCTGGGGGAGGAYCAAGTTCTTGTAATTTAGTACTGAGAGAGGGATCCAGACCAAATGGGTGTTTTGGGGTTTGCTAAAGGTAAAAGTAAGATTTTGTCTTCTGCATTCTTTAGTTGAGAATTATTCAGTGCATGAAATATTTAAGCCCCAGATAATTACTTAAAGTAAACGCTTCACATTTGCATAAGACGCTCTTAGCACAAAAAACCCCACAAACTCATACCAATTCTCCACAGTTTACATTTTCTTATAAATCGACAATGATTGTCACTAAAATGGTTTAGCCAATAGTTCTTTCGGGCAGAAAAAAAAAATTATCACCTTTAGTCAGATTTCAGCGCTGAACCCGTGAAAGAGCAGCAACAAGTTCTAAATAGCTTTCCAGTTCATGTATATAGCAGCAATAAGTCACAGATTCACAGATTCACAGA